CCCCCATGGCCTCCGGAGGCCCCTGCTCCGCCATGGCCTCCTGAGGCTCCTGATCTGCCATGGCCTCCTAAACTACCTGCTCCACCATGGCTTCCCGAGTCCCCTGCTCCGCCATGGCCTCCCCATGTGCCTTCCTACGCCCATATTTGGTTAGTTTCCTGTTCCTGTCCTGATTAGGTTTATTTGATTCCAGGTGTTCCCCATTTTATGTCTATTGATCCCAAGTGTGTCTCGTCATCCCCTCCTCCTGTGTGTATAAATAGGGTTCCCTGTGTGTGCTCCAGCGTCCGGTAGTGTTTGTGTCTACAGTGCTACGTGTGATTCCCCGTGAAGATTATTAAATTCCTTGGTTTCTGTACTCTTGGTCTCCTCGTTCCTTGCTCCGTGTTCCCGCACCGTAGCAGATCGTGACAGAATACCGGACCTAAAAAGTAAGCGGCGCCCCCTCTCCCCGTTTGATTTCCGTTTTTTGAAAGTTTGTTTTGTTTGTTTTTTTTTCCCGTGCGTTCCTCCACGTACCCAAATGGAGGAGCGATTAATGTTTATCGCGCTGGCTCAGGCGAGCCCACTGCTAAAAAGAACATTATTTGGTGTAATGAAATGTGTTTATGTGATTTAAAGTAAAAAAAAACTAAATTATTAAAAATTCTCCCAGGATCAGTAAAGAGTCCTCCATAAAATGTGCTGCACACATCTGGATATTTGGGTTAAATTTTTCTGGAACAGTGTTGTAAATACAACTTAGCCACCTCCAAAGAGAAAGGAAAAATTGAAATCGCATCATATGACCCCTTTAAATCTTGACCTACATTTTAAATGGTTATTTTAACTATTTATACTTTTTTAAATTAAGCACTTACAAAAATTGTAAAATGAAATTCAAGTGATGGTAAAGGATTGTCAAATTTTGCCCTTTAAAATACTGTAAGTGAATACTGTAACACACAGGTCTTCAACCCTGCTCCTAGGGACCCACTGTCCCGCCAAATTTCTTTCAACCTGCTCCATCACAAATGGCCTGTGACTTTTCAAGTGATCCTGAAGACCTTGATTTCCTGGTTCAGGTGTGTTTGATTAGGGTTAGAGCTGAACTCTGCAGGAAAGTGGGTGCCCAGGAGCAAGGTTGTGGACCTTTGCTGTAACAGTTGATCAAGGACCGCAAGAAGCAGTAATAATGAACAAACAAAAAAATAACAAAACATAACATAACTTGACGTAAATACCTCAAATTTGATCAAGTGATTTTCCGTGCAGCTCATGTAGCTTTCCCTTTTCCAGTGCAAGCAGCAACTTTGAAATTTTTCCACTTTGTATAGTGGGCTCAGACAGTCAGTAGAATTGTCTATGAACTGATATGTCATGTCCTAAAAAGTCAGCAAGCTGATCTAGTTCATTGTCCTTTAAGTGTAAAATTTGGGAAGTGGTTGCTATTTCTTTGCGTAGATGAGTGGACCGTAAATAATCAAGTTTATTTGCTAAATAAAAGTATTAATTTATTTAAAAAATAATGACCCAAACCTTTGATACAGTCAGGTCCGGAAGTATTCGGACACTGAGTTTTTGTGCTTTTGCCTTTATACACCACTACAATGGATTTGAAATAAAACAATCAAGATGTGATTGAAGTGCAGACTTTTAGCTTTATTTTAAGAGGTTCCACAAAAATGACATTTATATGGCAAGACTGAAGGCAGAAAGACCCACAAACAAGCAGCAACTGAAGGTGGCTAAACTGAAGACCTGGCAAAGCATCTCCAGGGAGGAAACTCAGAATTTGGTGATGTCCATGGGCTCCAGACAACAGGTAGTCATTGACTGCAAATGATTGTCGGCCAGATGGCAAAAGTTCAAAAAGGGCATAACTTGGATGTGAGGGATTCAGAGTGATTTTCTGAGCCCTTTTCCTCACTCTGGATGTATACAGTTCATGAAGGGTGGGCAGGGGAGCACCAATAATTCTCTCGGCATTTCAAACCGATCTCTGTAATCTTCTGATGTCTGATTTTGTAGCTGAGCCAAACCAGACCCATCACCATCCTGAATGAGGCCGACGACTGTAGTGTCATCTGCAAACTTCAGGAGCTTGACAGAGGGGTCCTTTGAAGTGCAGTCATTGGTGTACATGGAGAAGAGCAGTGGGGAGAGCACACACCCCTGAGGGGCGCCGGTGCTGAAGGTGTGGCTGTTTGACATGAATTTCCCCAGTCTCACTTTATCATACCATCAAAATCTCATACCGGCCCATGCCTAGTTTTCAGACAGGCTGGTGTCACACTGTCTGAGCCTGGTGCCTTTCTTCTTTTGTTCTTCCTGAAAACCTGGCGCACATCATCCTCACTGATCTGAAGTGCAGGAGGGGGGGTGAGGGGGGTTGCAGGAGGTGTTAGAGGTTGTGTAAAGAGATGGTCAGAATGGTGTGGGGGTTTCGAATCTACAATGAAACTTATCTGTCCCCATTTCTGTAGGCATCCTCTTTGGCCTGACGAAGATGTCTGAGTTTTGCTGTAAACCATGGCTTATCATTGCTGAATTGCCAATTATATTTACAATTATGTCACTTTAGCCCCTAAAAATGGAGGTACTTTGCTTAAAATGGCTGTAACTCCTAAATGGTAAATGTCAAATTTTAAATGGAACCTCTTAAAATAAAGCTAAAAGTCTGCACTTCAATCACATCTTGATTGTTTTATTTCAAATCCACTGTAGTGGTGTATTAAGGCAAAAGCACAAAAACTCAGCATCTTAGAATAACTTGTGAAGGATCATGTGACAAGACTGGAATAATAGCTAATGAAAATTCAGCTTTGCCATCACAGGAATAAATTATATTTGAAAGTATATTAAAATAGAAAATCATTATTTTAAATTGTAATAATATTTCACAATAGTACTGTATTTTCTGTATTTTTGATCAAATAAACAGCCTTGATGAGCATAAGAAACTTCAAGAGCATAAAAAAACATGTATACATACATATACACACACATATATTTATTTGCCCTTCCTGTAAAGCATTGCCAAAATATAACACTTACCCAAGTCTTGTTTTTATCTTTTGTATGGAGATGTGCCATGTAGTACTGCACACTGTAAAAAAAAAAAAAATTGTGATGAGAAAAATTCACAATTCTTCACACAGCCAACCTTTTAAATAAAAAAAACTGTAACATAATAATGAATAATAATTGGTACAATATTGGATTTGTGTAATAACTGGCCATAAAATTAGTCCAAATGCTGGCGAAATACATAATTTAGTTGATCTGTGCTCTGCTGGGTAATCCAGAACTGTATTTGTAGCTCTATTTACTTCGGTAACAATAAAACCAGTTTGAAAAACACTAAAAAAATATATAAACCTATAAACACCTTTTTTCTGTGATACAACCCCCTGGCCACTGGCTAATAATTTTTTAGTTCACTTGCCAGTCTA